AATGAAAAGTTAAAATGAATAATGAAAATTACATTACTCAAAAATTGCTAATACCTGTTAAACTTTATCTGGATGTTGTGTAAAGGCGTATTTGTTACACACCAGTCTGTAGCCAATCCATTAATTGGAAAATTAGTTAAAATTCAGGAAGTGCCAGTGGTTTTAGTAAGAGGTGTTTTAAACAAAAGATTGTGGAAGAAAAATAAATAAATAAATATTTTAAAGTGCATCTTTTTATACAAGCTTTAATTAGATTTTGGCAGAATACATTATTTTAATGGTTTTTCATTAATGAAGACTGCTCATTGTTTTGGTTGTACAGTAAAAAGAAGAAAAAAGTAATCTTGGGTTCTATTTAAAGAGCAGCCTGTGTATTAAAAAAAACTATTAAGATGCTGCAGTCATTGACAGAAAGATTTTTGCATGAGAAAAGAATGCAGAATCCATCTAGGAAGCATCGAGTCAGAGGAGGATGGGTGATAACATCTCTGGCTGTGTGTGACGTGCTGTGTGTAAGAAGCCGCGGTGTTGCTGAGGTTGCCGACCCCAGCTCTGCTTTCTTGCCCTGGAAGCCAGCGGCTCTTTTTGCCCCTGATTTCACAGAGAGAAGGTGAAATCCCCAGAGACCTGGCTGCTATCCACAGTGAGCTCCCAGGGTTAACAGCCCCGAGAGATCCATAGGCTCGGCCAGAAACCCCTTCCTCACTGCTGGCCTTGGGGGAGGATGGGATGGGATGGGATGGGATGGGATGGGATGGGATGGGATTTTTCTGACACTTAGGTTGTCCCAGCATCTCAATGGAAATGTGCATGGTTTATTAACACAGGTGAGGGCTCTTCAGTTGTTTGAATTTCGAAAACCAAATTGTCAACCTTTAAAAGGCCAATTCAAATTCATTCCAAATTTCATTTGATTAAAGCCATGATGCTTGCTGTTGGAAAAATGAAATATAAATAAGCCATAAGTTACTTGGTTTCAGATGGGTAAATGTCACACACGGAATGAAGGGATTTTTTTTACTAGGTTTAAGTGAAACAGAGTCTTTATTTAGTGTCATGTTTTTATTTAAAAGCATTTATTTAAAGTTTTAAAAAACAAAGAATTCAATATAGCAAGACAGGTGCAACTGCAAATGATTAATGATATAATTCTCAGTACTTTATAAAGTGTCTAACGCTGAGGAGATTTATACAGTGCGGAATGGCAATTGTGCTTTGATGGAAGGAATGGGTAATCAATACCTGCAAGCTTAGAAAAAGTGTTCTATTTCCTCCTCTAATGATATAGGGGTTTTTGCAAGGCAAGGATGTCTGGAGCATGAGACACTTGGAAGAAGAATTAATTTGAAATCTGTAGTGGAAGATCAGTTTCAATTAAAACTGCACTTGAATGTCCATGGAAATAGGCAGGCAGTTCGGCTTAAACCTTCTGATGGCTACCAGTGGATAAATGAATCCTGCTGCACTCGTCTTGATTACATTTAATAGGTTGTTGAGCTTATTTTTTCTGAGTAGGGGATATCACTTATTTACTTGAGTTTCAAACTCAAAAGTACAAATTTTCTCCTCACTCCCAAACCCTCCTTTGCCTTTTGATGCTGATTGTGAAAGTTGGGATGGCCCCAGTCCTGCACAGCCGGCAATGGAGATGTTGAGGTCGCGGCCTCTATTTCTGTCTCGAATCGCTGCCATAATGGTGCAGGTCATATTGCATGTAATAATTTGCATATCAAAAACTTCTGAAAGAAATTAATGGAAAACCTAGCCGTTTATAAAATCCTGTGCTGATTTTAACTAGCAGGTCTTGAACCTTCTAAATCAGAGCTTAGCCTTATGACTGTAATTTGGGATGTCAGGACTTGGAGTCACGGCACCAGCGCTAAGTTGGGGGTTTGAATTGCTGAGAGAGTTTCATTGCATTAGATTTTTCTTTAATAATTCAGCACCAGTACGGAAGCATTTTATGCATGGGAACTAATACTGTCTCTTGAAGACAGCAGATAGTGCCAGGATTTTTTTTGGTAAATTATAGATTTGGAACCAAGTGAAGCTGCTGTATTTGTAGAAAGAGATGTATTGCTATTGAATTAATCCAAACAAGTTATTTTTTTTCAAAAACAGACCTGTTTTTAATGATACAAAGCTCTAAAAGCCTTTAAAGGTCTGTGTAAAACTACATTTCAGCAAGAGTCGGTCCAGGTACCTAAGTCACTTGAGGTTTTAATTCAACATGCTGGTTTGTTTGTTTACCCTTATGGCTTATTTTATTCATTTTGACAAGACAGTTTTCACTGCAAATTGGTTGAGAGCTGGTTTTATTTAGAAAAAAAATAAAAATAAAAGTCTTTGTGACAAGATGCATGGAATGAACCCTACAGTCCCTGTTAAAGTAAATCCACCTGCTGAAAAAAAAATCTCCCCATTGACTGAAGGGTCACCAAAATACTTAAAAAAGGAAAATTTGAGTGCACAGCTCCTTTTGAATGCACAGCTGAAACCACTGCGATAGCCTCTGTGAGCAGAGTGCTTTTGAAAAGCTCACCCCATGTTTATAACAAAGCCAAAAAATGAGAGCTGGCAGGCTTGGTGATTATGCGTAGTGCTAAACATTTTAAAGCAAATTCCCAAATTTCATGGGGTGAACGCAAGGTTATATGAAAAGTAAATCTGAATTGCCAATTAATTCACTGCAAACCAATTACTAAGAGCGTCCTGAATCAGGAAAAGTATCTCGGAGTGGAACACGTTCGGTTTTCCCCATGTAGGGGTTTTAATAATTCTGTTCTCCTTGGTGGTGGTACATTGGGAAATTAACTAGAAGGGGCTTTTGCTGACAGTACAAGTTGAGCCATGAGATAAACGAAAATCATTTTTAACCTGGGCAGGTGATGTAAGCGATTTTTAAAAGATGTTGCAATTTTGCCTAATTGTAGTTGAAAGTAAACCACTTTCTTGTTGTTTTGGTTGCCGTGCAGCATTTGAGTGTGATGAGTATAGCACAAAATCTCGCTATTGATTAAGTGTCCTGTGCTAGCCCGCGGGAAGATAAGAAGAATGCATTTTGCAGCTAGACAGATGAAAACCCAGGGGCCAAAGCAGCTGCCCTTCACAACTGCTGGGTTTGGATGGCACTAATTGAAATTACATACGCTTCTCAGGTGCAGGGGTAATAAATGCACCTTGGTGCATTATTTACTGCTGTCCACCTATCAGATATGGTTCAGAGGTACGATACAGGTGTGGTGTCAGGGGCCCCAGGAAAACAGAGTTCAACTCTGGGTTGTAACTTGGTTTTGGTAGGTGAGCTTTGGGCAAATCGCAGCCCTTCTCAGGCCATCGGTTCCCCTGTCCCCACATGAGAACAACGTTGCTGATCCCTGCTGTAAGGCACTTCAAGAACTGCGAGTGAAAAGCACTTTACAAGAACTCTGTGCTGTTATTTCAGGAGCTTAAACTGCTGTTTGCACTCATAGGAAGATAATCTCTTAGTCTCTGTTAATACAATTTAAGAGTTGGAGAGGGAGGTCATAAGAAAAATTTGAAATTCACTGGAGATCCTCTTGCGTGTGCTGTTGAGGGTCCCTGGTGTTATACCGCATCTAGAGCTGGGATGTGCTGGGGATGACAAGGTCTTTGCCTGAAACCTTTTATTTTTAGTTGTTATTTTTATTGCCTGTTTGTGCTGGAGAACCTCGGAGAATGGGCAGAATGAGTTAGGGCTGTGGCAGACAACCTCTGGCAGATTTAGTGGTGGTTTGCCATCCTGCCTCTCACAGCTCTGCTGTCACGCCCTGAGACGCTCCTGCTTTCCTTCTCCCAGCAGCGCTGAGGGTGCCATCCTGTCACAAAATTCAGTTAGACAGTTTAGGGGCTGAGGACTCATTAATACACGAAAAAATGATCAGGATGTGCTTTTTCTCCTGTGCCTTGTGAGATGGGTGGACAGCTGTGATAACAGCAATTATCTTAATCTATTGACAAATGAAGTGTTATGCTGAGCCGTACACCTGATGTGCTGGGGACACGGGCTGTTGGTGGCATTTCTCTTTGCAGCTGTAGCTCTTACTGACCTTGCATGGTGGCAAGTGATGGGCTCACAAATTACAGCAACTTGTATTTTAAATCAAAAAAGAGAGTAGAGGGGTGTGGAGCGAAGGCGAGGTGACAGTGTTTGGTTCTGTGTCTGCTTTTGGTGAGCTGTCGTGTAATGCAGATGGCTCTGATGTGCCCAGGTACAGCCACGTGTACGAGACACTGCCCATCAGTGCTTGGAACTTCTCATTTACAGCTGATATTTGGCTTGTCTTGTTTTGAGAGAGTAATTTGCATCAGGTAAGAACAGACTGTGCTAATAAGTAAATCAGAAAACTCATGTAAGAAGAGCAGCAAGTTATAACAATATCCTGACAGGTCATTGCCCTCTGTACTTCCTCCATCCAGAGTAAATTTTTTTCCTCTGTTGTTTTCTTCCAATTTACTAATATACATTTAGCTTAATTCTTTATTTTTATCTGTTCTGAACCTCCAGGTTCAAAACCTCCAGAAGAAATGGGATCATTAATAAAGTTGGTATTATCTAAGCAGAGTAATACACAGACACAAGTTAATGGATAACTGGTACATTATTTGTCTCATGTGAAAAAGTAAACTGTATTCTAACATATTAAGGCTGAAGCTTTAGCAAAGTTCCTGTAACACCATGCTAATTCATAACATGTGCACAAGGGGAACTTGGGAGTTGCAGATAGTTTTATAGAATAGTAATTAAAAAGAAAAGGCCGTTGCTCGTTACTGCTAGAGGCAGAGCTGGAGTTCAGCACAAAGCGAATGGATTTCAATCTCCTCGTAATTTTACAAGTCGTAACCTCTTCCAAAGGTGAGGAGTGTAACTGTGGTGGAGTTACCTGGGGAGCTTAAGTGCTTCATCCTCTTACTTAAGAGTTACCCAGAACTGCTGAGCCACTGGAGTGTTAACTGGCATTGGTATTTTTTAACAACAGGTACCTACGGTCCCGAGCACTGGGTGACTTCCAGCGAGAAGTGTGGGGGGTCTCACCAGTCTCCCATAGACATCGTAGACCACCAGGCCCACGTTGGGGATGAGTATCAAGAACTGCAGCTCGATGGTTTTGACAACGAATCTTCCAACAAGACTTGGATGAAAAACACAGGAAAAACGGGTATGCTCTCCTCTGTTTGTCTCCACAGGCTGTCTGCAGTCAATTAAAAATTCAAGCCATGTTCCACCCTCCTCCTTTTTCATTCTTCTGTGGTTTGGAGTTTGTTGCCTTTTTTTAATATAATTTTTTCAGCAGCATCCACCTATCTCTGCCTCTGCATTCTGTGCAAAGCAAGTTCTGCAGATTGATTTTAAGGCTTTTTTTTTTAAGGATGGGGTTTTTTTTTCAGGTTCTCAGTGTAAAATAATTCTCTTGGTAGTCAGTTGTTCCTCAGAAAAAAAGACTGTATAAGAATTTCAAGGTGTAACCTTGAATTATCAGCTTTGGGAGGCTGTAACATCTAATCCAAAAGAACGCTGAGATGCAAGACTCGGGCCTTTGTAGGAAAGAGGAAGTCTTAGAAATTGAAAGGTGTTATAGAAGAAAGAGCAATAACTGCTCCGAGTAGTGGGGGTTTATTAACGTGTTTCTGATATGATTATTGCACTGTGTTCTTCACTGAACTGAATCCTCTTCTGCTCTGTTCTGGCTTTTACAGGAAAGAACAGTCAGAGTACTGCTTATTTTTACCAAAACAGTTCACTGAAAGGTCAAGGTTGATTTATATGCAAAGCCGCATGCATTTGATTACTCTTTAATTCTAAAAATGTAAAAAGCAGAAATTATAAGGCCACCCTCTTCATTTGACAAGGTCAAATATTTTTAGGGAATTGGATTAAACCACTAATTAATTCAATTTTATTTATTGGACGTGTATTTTTATCTTTATTAACATTCATCACACATCTCTGTAGTGCTTTATGTAATGTGTCCCTCGTCTGGCCAAACCCAGGGCATGTACCTGCGCCGGGATTTGGTGACACAGCTGTGCACACGGGGTGACCTCGGATACACCCCATTGCTTCCAGGGGACTTCGGGTCCGAGCTGCGGCCTGGAGTTCAGCGAGAGCCTCAGATCCAGCTCCAGCAGTTCAGGATCTTAGCAGGAGTCGAGAGTTATCACCCCTCAGATGGGATGCAGTGACAGGCTGTGATCCTGTTTTCTTTCACTGCAAAGCAAACCCAGTTAAAGCAAACCACCACCACCAAGCGTAGCTTGGGTTTTTGATGCATTACTGAGGGTTTTTTCCAGCTTCACTGAGAGATGTTCCTGTTTGCTTTGAAATCCTGATTTTGTTGCCCTTTTGTAGCAACAAGAGATTCGGGCAAGGCTGAATGCTATGGAAATTTGGTGCTTAATTAATCTATTCATGTTGTGCACCCTGCCCTTTTGGTCACAGAGGGATGTTTAGTAACCAGCAATAAATGTAATTAGAAATACCACAAAGAAGCGATGGTGCTGTTCTTCTAAGAAAGATGCTAATGCTATACAGTGTGTGTAATAGGAACATACTGCTGCACGTATAATAGGAAACCATGCTGAACCAAACCGTGCCAGCACTTTTTCCAGTCTCCCCACAGTTGGCAAAGCAAGCTGTACCTTCAGTCTCCTCTGCTGGGTGATTTTAGCACTGCTGCTATATTTGATTTCCTCACCCATTGGGGTATGGATTTTTGCTGACAAGTTATTGCTTCACAGAGCAACAGTAACTGTCACTTTTCTTGGTAACTTACGGCCTTTTACTGGTAACGTGAAGACTCTTTTTGCCTTGCTGTCATCCCTGATTTCTTCTGCTGAGTTCTTAGCTCCTCCCTGGTTTTATCAAGTCTTTATCAAGCCCTTCTCTTGGTTTTCTGACCTTTTTGAAGAAATTTGTCTGGGATTAATTTTTCTGGTGGTAGAGCAGCAAACCAAGGAGGATGTTTTGTCTTGTGGGTAGAACGTAGAGGCAGGTTGTGCCATAAATTGCGTTGCATTTTGGCAGTGAAATTTTGGAGCAGATGGCCACAGGAGACCTTCATATTGCAGACTGACAGAGACAGTAAACTAAATATCTGTTTAAGCAATGCTGACGGATGTAGAGGGCATTTCTCAGCAATTAAGGACTGGTTAAAAGAGGTAGAGGTCTGAGGGAAAGCCAAAGGCCCTTAACCTTGATGCTCATTAACTGGCAGGAAATGTGTTGCTTGGGTTATTGTTATTGCTATTGGACCTAGTAATTTTTTTTAGGATGGAACAATTAGTTATTTTTATGCTCTGAAATGTTAAAAGGTAAAGAGGTTATTGCTCTTTAGATTTGTTGTACTCTTTCTTGTTTCCCCCTCCCTCTCCCACGTCAGGTAAAGGGCAGACAATGTACAGAAAACAGCATTTCATTCTGAAAATGGAAATGGATTCATTAAGCCCCTGTCTCGACTGAAAATGCTTTTGTGCGTGACAACACTGGCAAAGGCACTGATGTGGGTATGATTTCATCCCCCTAGTAGCTGGTTCCCAAGTGGTAAAGATCACTTGGACAGCATAAGCACATTTTGTAGCTGTATTTGCATTAGTTGCTTTCACTTATGCCACCTTATAATTCAGTGTACCTGGCGTCAGCCGGGCCTGGGGCTGACAAGGCTTCTTCAAGCCCAACCTGCCACAGAAAAGCGCCTGTGGGAGCAGTACCCTCGCCGGCATCACACAGGCATTGCCACCTTACCCCTTTTTAGGTCACTCAGAGCTTCTAAAAACTCCTTCCATTTAAAGAAACCTACTAAAATTGCTGCTAGAGGTGTGTTTTTGTAAAGTACTTTTTCTATGTGATGTGCATCACTCGGGCTGGTCCTGACTATCAGAACTGCTATGCAAAGGCATGGAAAGAGCTGCTTTGGCTTATTTTTGCACTCAAGAAGGTGACAGGCACACAGCTGCAGCCCTGATTCTGCAAATGGCATCGTGCAATTGTGATCCTGGTGGCTGTGGACCACCTCATTTGGTCTTGTAATCTCAATTACATAGCATTTTAAATTAGTGGGCTTTGAGGACTGATTCCTTGCTGTGCACTGTACAGAAACCATAGCAGTGGCTCCCAAAGCCCAGTAAGGTGATGTTTGGCTGTTCCAGTCCTGAGTACTGGGTGTCACATGGAGGGGAGGGAAGGCCCCAAATCACTGGCAGTAAGGGGATGCTGCTGCGATGGGAAGGTGATGGGAACATGTGTTGTACAGCTCAGCGGTGTAAGAAATACTGTAAAATGAACAATTAGATGAACATTTCAGATTGTACATCCTCCTAATTATCCTTTTAATTATTCATCTAAAACAAGTAAAATGACCCCTGACAGAGCCATAAATGATTTAGGAACTATCAAATATTTATTAGATGCAACTGAATCCCCACAGAGGTTTTTAACAGATGCACACGAATCTGCTTTCCTGTTTTGCTCGTCTCCTACAGTTTTATCTATGGAATTTACAACCAGTTGAATGAGAATTTCAGTGGTTAAAATGCTGCTGAGCTCATTGAGCATTTTTTGAGGGAGGAAGAGAGCAGTGGTGGTTTTAGTCTCATAGGTTTCACATATTTGGTGTAAGGAGACAGAGGCCCTGGCTGACACAGGCAGTGACCCATAGCCAGTCCTACACCACCCAGCTTCCTACACAAATGCTTTGATACAGAGGAAGAAAGAAATCATGGGAGAAAATAGCCCCGTGATGTTGTTGGCACAGTTCAGAACTATCTGCACATCTCATGCAATTTAATATTTAGATGGTTTTGACATAAACAAATTAAAGTTCAGGTGTTGTACTCATGGGCGGGCAGCCACAGAAGGCCTGACCTGCGGCAAAGCCTGCACTGGTTCACCAACAGGAGTCACTTTTATTTCACAACTAGCTTTTTTTGTTGGTTTTTTCAGCAGTGAATAAAATCCTCCCTTTTACATAATGAACTTGGATTCCTATTAACGTTTCCATTGTGATGACACAGTTGGCTTGAGAACACAGAGAAATCCTTGTGGGTTATGCTATTCCCATAAAAAAAAAGTAAATAAAAAGAAAACCAACCCAAAACTTTAATTGCAGGATTCTGGGCACAGCAAGTGGTGGTCTAAATGGCTTTTACCAGAAAATAATTCTAATTTTAGTTCTGTTTTTAAGCAACAGTTTTGTAAGGGATGAGAAGGAAGAATCTTCTAAGGAGTAGTTTTTAGGAACCGTGCATATTAAAAATGGGAGATGCTAGGAAGGCAGGTGATCTTGAAGTGACAGCGGCAGACAGGAATTTTTGGAAAGTTGGATTCAGTTCTTAGCTGGACCATAGACCTCCCCTGTAACATGTACCAGCTTTCACCATATGATTTTGCCCTCTATTTGGACCTACAGCTTTTATTGTTACATAAAATACAAAGGCTTTTGGAAATGAAAAGAAAATACAAAGAAGATCCTTTTGACCCTTATTGAATCCCATAATAATAATGTCAGAGTTACTGCAATAAAACCCAAGTTCTTACGGAGAACTTCTCATGAGCGGGGCTCCAAAAAGTTATTGTTACTCTCCCCATTTTACAGATAGGAGGAGCAGGGAGGTTAAGGAAAGTACGTGCCGTGTCCCGCAGTAGAGGTGGGACGGGGCACAGGGGTCTGTCGTCCGTTACCCCCCAAAACAGGGGAAATCCAACAGCATAGGATCCATTCTTTTCCTGACTTGTGATCTGCAGACCTTCAGTGGTTTGCGAGGCCAAGAAATGTGGTCGGCCATTAGTCCCTGGAACCACATTAAACGGGGTTTGATGGAATTTGGTGTTTAAATCTTAATCAGAGTCCGATGAGGAGGGCAAAAAGTCCTTGAGAAATTTGGACTTTGTGGTTTTCTGTAGTTTATGTTAGTTCGTAATTACTTCCATAATTAGCCAGCATTACTTGTAGACTTTTTTTTTTATACCAATCCCCACAAAGAGGGAAATTATGACCCAGCATTTTACTTGCATTAGAAGAAGTATTTTAATATAATGAGAAAAAACTGTAAATGCTTCAGAAAAACCTGTGCTAAGAACATCTTTGTCTTTGTTGTGTGTGTGCAGTTGCTATCCTGCT